CAATGATGGTGTGATTTGGAACATGTGTTTTTTCCATATATTGGGAACAATACTCCCAACTGACTTTCATATTTTTCAGAGGGGTAGGTATACCACCAACCAGGTATATGTTCATGCGAAAGCAATGTTAAAACCCTGATATGGAATGGCCAAAATAACATGTTTGAGGACAAGGGCCTCGAAAAACTCCCTATCTGGAGTGGCTCGGGACAACAGTTCCGTAACATGTTTGGACACTATATGAGGCGTTTTGACTTGGAACAGCACCAATTCCGGCCATACTCCCTACGCAGAGGGGGGGCCACATGGCTCTTCCAGCTGTCGGGGTCAATGGGACGGTCAATGGGACAAGCCCTTTTGAAGGGCCGATGGTCGTCCACTAGGGTCGCAAAGATCTACATGTCAGACGCACTGTCATATTTACCCAGTCTTACATTCACTGATCGAGCTAAACAGCTCCTGGCCACATGGTCTCCGTTTTCAACTCGCTGACACGAGTCGAGCGAGGGACCGTGGAAAGGGGACCAGAGCAGGCAATGAAGCGAAAGAATCTCATTGCTGCAAAAAGCCCTCTGTCAGTCACACAGAAAAAGGATGAAAAAGGAGTGACCAGAAACCCATATATGTATATATATATACATATCCGTAGTTGGATGGGTTATAAACCAAAATAGACTCGGGGGGCCTTCCTGCCATTTTATTACTGGTTCACAAATTGTGCTGGTGATATTTCCGCAGTATGTCTCATATCCCTTCAATTCCCAGTCAATATATTCGATCATTTTCCTTGGTACACCTTGGTACCAAATCGACATATTGGTTCCATCCCATTAAATCCAAGTAAATCCAAGTAAAATCCCATAGATCTCATTGGCTCCCATTGCCAATATAGATATCTCCATTTCTCATTAAAGCACCGTTTCTGCTTGTTACCCCCCGGCAATTTAACAGTTTACTATTTTCTTGCCCATTAAAAATTGTGATTTTCCATAGTTATGTTAGTTTACCAGAGGGTAAATCCCATTAAATCCCATTAATCCCCATTGAATCAACACTAAGTCACCTTGTTTGTTTGTTGAACAAATCAGCTAAACCATAGTTAAACCCTATGAAACCCTATGGTAAATCCCAAGGATTTTACCCAACTTCAAAAGCAAACGTCACGCCGAGGAAGCGATTCCCGCCTATTGCCCTCCCTGGTCGGGCTACAACTTCTCGGAACCTTACAACAGCAGCAGCGCCCCCAAGGCCTGACAGGGCCAACGTTGGTATGGTAAAATCCGGAAAATGAACCAACCAAAATGGTGAGTTCACGGGGAGATCACCTACAAAAATGGCTGGTTGGTGGTTTGGAACATGAATGGATTATGACTTTCCCATCATATCGTGAATGTCATCATCCCAACTGACGAACTCATATTTTTCAGAGGGGTTGAAACCACCAACCAGAGAATGGAGATTCAAAGGGACTTAGGTTCTAGATTATGGTGATTTAGTAGGTGCTGTGATGGGATTGCAGGATATTTTTTGGGGGGATATGATGAGGTATACCAACGATATGTGATCTCCTTCGAATTTATTTGGGGGTCTAGGGTTCAAACGGAATGGACGATAGTATTGATTCATAATCATATCCCCAATGTTTGTTGGTGAGATCTGTAAATCACCATGACCCATGTTATGTTGACTATTGAATCCCAATTACCCTCTGGTAAACATACAAAAAGCTATTGAAAATGGCCCAGTCGAAATAGTGGATTTTACCATTTACATAGCATGGTGATTTTCCCATCAGTTGTTTGTTAATGTTTACCAGGCCGGGTATCAATTACTGTAATTCTATCATTTCATCCCACACCGCAATCGATCCCACAATCATCCAATACTGATACCCTCTGGTTATGACTAACATAGCCATGGTATAGATGGCCCATGTTTAATAGGTAAACCATCTATTTCTATGGGCCATTTTCCATGGCTATGTTAAATAACTAGAGGGTAATTACTACAAGGTGAGGCCCCCAAGTTATAAGTTTGTTAATAGACCCCATGCAGCCCACGCATGCTATGGTTATATGCTCCACAAACCCAATAGTGAACCATGTTATTTGCATCAACTTAGCTATCCTTTGGGCACCTTGTAAACCATTTTATATAGTATAATTTGCCGCATTTGCCCATGCTTGATTAAAGGGACCCCTCTATCAAAGAAACAATGGAAAAGGACATCCGTGGTTTACGGAATGTTCCATAACATTTTGTTTATTGTGGTTAAAACAATGTCATTTGGTTAAAACAATGTCATTGCACCATCCCCCAGTCATCACTATTTTTATAGGTGGTATTTGTTTACCATTCCCAGTCATGGGTAGTTCATGGCATTGTTTTAACCACATTAAATAATTTATTGGGAATGTCATCATCCCAACTGACGAACTCATATTTTTCAGAGGGGTAGGTATACCAACAACCAGACAGCGATATTAAATCCCTTCAAATCCCATTAAATCCCTTTAAATGACCATTTTTCATGCGGTGAAATCCCATTAAATCCCATTAAATCCCATTAAACCACCGGTAATTTCATCAACCAGACATTTTGTTTACCAACCAGTTTCCTACCAGGAATCCCCCCGTCGTAGGTGGTTCGCGTGGTGGATCCCCTGGCGCACGTCTTTTTGCGGGAAGTGCGACAGCTGCCGTTGCCCTCGGGCCTTCTGGGCAGCTCGGTGTGATGGATGGAGTTTTTGGATGGATTCCATGGGATTCTCTGCCAGGGTTCATAGGTGGTAAATCTATACAATGTGGGGCCCCCAAACGTGATGTGAACGTTGGTTAACAAAAACCCCTATAGTTATTTGCGTACCATAAACCATAGTGAAATTGGAGTTATGTTCACCAACTGAACGCTATCGAACGTGGGCCCCACATTGTAGTTAATGGGCTTTTAACTTTTAACCAATTTAGCGTTCAGTTGGGGGCCACATAAAACCCAATAACTATCTGATTGCTGGTTTGGAACATGTTTTTTTTCCATCTATGATTGGGATTCATATAATAGTGGCTAATAGTGGTTAATGGTGGTTGATAAAGGTTAATAGTGGTTAATAGCTGATTGGTGGTTTGGAACATGAATGGTTTATGATTTTCCCATCATATTGGGAATGTCATCATCCCAACTGACGAAGTCCATCATTTTTCAAGATGGTGAAATTCCACCACCAACCAGATATTTCTATCTGACAACAAATTCCACGAATAATTTTTCCATTCAGTTGGGAATAATGATCTCAACTGGTTTTCATATTTTTCAGGGGGGTAGGGTTGAAACCACCAACCATTAGATGATGATTGTTCTTCGGGATTTCACCCAAGATGGTTTTTTTAATCATGGATTTCATGGGATTTACCCGCTGGTAATTTGTTACAAAGCTATGGAAAATCCATTCGAAATGGAGGTTTTAATGGGAAAATCATCTGTAAATGGGCCTTTTTCCATAGCTATGTTAAATTACCAGAGGGTAGTTGACTTAACCAACCGAGAATGGTGATTCAATGAGATTTCGCGGGGATACCATGATAATTTAATGGTTGGTCAGATGAGTTTCCAGATGTTTCTAAAGAAAAAGATGGTCCTCCATTGAACGTTAGGTAAGCTGGTTGAGGTAAGTAGGGTCACTTGTGCAGATCGGGTAGATATTTCGAATTGGTTAAGTAGCTTTAGAAGCCAACAATATGACGAAATCCAGCTAAATCCATTTCATCAGCATTTCAAGTCCCATTTCGAGTCAGCATTACCAAACAGGGCGAATGGTTCGAAACTACACCTGGTTGGTGGTTTCAAACCTTTTTTATTTTCCATTTCATATATGGGATGTCATCCTTCCCATTGACGAACTCCATCATTTTTCAAGATGGCTATTGCACCACCAACCAGCCATTGTATCCCAATATAAATCTGACAACAAACAAATCCCACTTTTTGTATCCATTCAATCGCCACCATTTTTGACGGTTTTCAAGTCTCAGGCCGGGGGGGATCTAAATCTATGATTTCACCATCGCCCGGGACTTCCGGCCAGTCAAAAGCTGGCGTTTTGGGCGGATGGGTAAGCCCATCCTTTACGTATGAATTCTTGACCTTTTGGTTGGGCTATTTGGAGGGTCTAGGTATCATTTATTTATGGTGCGTTGTGTATATACGTATGCCGTATGCATATATTGTTTTTATTTATTTAATATATGTATTTATTTGTTGTTATTTGAATATTGTGCATTACTAAATGTATTGTTCTGTTTTTTGCAACTTTGTTCTTGAATCTGCAGGCTGATCGATCAGACTGGAATTCATGTTGGACTCGTGCAGACAGACAAGAGATCGACGAATGTATCTATGTGTATCTATTCTATATCCATACAATGTGGGGCCCCCAAGATAGCTAAGTTGGTGAACATAACTCCAATAACTATGGTTTATGGTACTTATAACTATAGTTAATGGTGTTTATAAACCAACAAACATCACTGGGGGGGCACCACCTTGTATCTGTATCTATCTGTCTATCTATCTAACAATGACTGTCTCCTTTTGGGCCATGCCCCAGATCACTGGAAAATCAGCAAAGCTATCATGATCTACAAAGACAATCATGAGTGCAGCCGCACTTGCCAACTCGATCTACAAAATTTATGCCTGTATGATCCAGCAACGCCTCTCACTCTATTGACCAATATCTCCATCCACACCAATATGGTTTTCGCCAGAATCGATTTCTCTCCACTCCTTTATTTCTCCTCCGTCATCTCACCGAATTTTTTTGAAAGGCATTCCACCTCTTTATGCATCCTTTTCCTTGATTGGTCGCAGGCTTTTGATTCTATCGGCCACCCTCACTTAGCTGCCGCCTTGCGAAGATATGGAGCACCAAGAGCCCATTGGCCAGAGCTTTAAGCATCCCACCGCGCATATATTCTCCACGAAGCCCCCCCCCCCCACACTTGGGGATTTCCAGCATTCTTTCTATCAACATTTCACTATCGCTGAGCTAAAACATTTTTCCTCCACCAGCATGAAGCAGTGGTACAATACAAGGAGGTATATTCACCTCCTCTTGCCAATTGCAGAAGACAGAGATTGATGGAAGTTGATTCACCCCAAAGTGAAATAGTCAACCAAGCTTAGGGACAATGCTGCTGCGGAAGTGTAGACCAATGTGGACTACATATCGCTTGTGAAGAAAATACTCATATGAATTAATTACATGTATATATCTAGCTATCTTTCTCTCTTTCTATCTTTCGTTTTTCTATCTACCTATCTACCTATCTATATTGTGTATATATATATATACATATATATATATAGTTGTATATATATATATGATCCTTCCGTTGTCGGTGTGGCCAAGGCGACGTGGTCACCGTGACTTGTCCTTCGGAGTTCAGCCGCGCCAGCGGCGACACGCGCTTCCGCTGCGGCCATGGCTTGAATGGCGGGCAATGGTGACGTGGCGGCCAATGGCGATGCCTTCCCTTGGGAAAAGCCTGGGAGGTGTTAAAGAACCACTGGAACCCTTGGAAAATGGTGGGTTTTTGATGGTTTAATGCAGAAGAATGGTGATTTAGGGGGATATATGGTGAGTTTATGGTGATTGAAGCAAGAAAAATGTTGATTTCATGGGAATTCGTAGGGTTAAACTAATGTGATTTCATCGGATTTAATGCTGATTTACTGGGATTTAATCGTGATTGGCTTCAATATAGTGGTTTAACCAACCATGATTAGGATCTCTCATGGGATTTGATGGAGTTAATCTGTATTCATGGTAAGTGTAACCATTTTCTGGCGAGTTACCCAACCAGTTGATCCACAGAAACACTTTGACCGACCTCGGTTGACCAGTAATCTCGAATGTGTCATCATTACCCTCTGGTTATGTCAAAGTAGCTATTGAAAATGGCCCATTTACAGTTGATTTACCCATTAAATGGTGATTTTCCATAGTTTTTTTGTATGTTTACCAGAGGATATTTGGTGGTTCATCCTACTGAGTACGTAGGTCAGTTCACAACAGTTATAAGTGGATTAACCCTACCTAGCCCACTGAAAGAACTCGGGTGAAGTGACCTACTTAGGATTCGTGGGATGAGCCAACAAATATTTGTAGATTTGTTCCGTGAAGAACTTAGGGATATAGCTGATATTGCAGCCAGTTAGTAAGAGTTGGTATAGAAGTTTATAGCCCATGTATAACTGGGATATATCCCACACCTTCCGGCAATCAAAACTGGCTGGAAAAAGAAATCCTTTGATGAGTTTCCCAGCGAACTAAACCTCCAATGAACAGAGGGTAACTGGGTGCTTTCATATGGTTCTTTCCCACTGACTGGGATGAAACTCCAGGTGATGTTCGGATGCTTTTGGTCAGTTGTCAGAGGAATTGTTAAAAACAGGATGTAGCTGGGTTAAAACTTACTGACTAATTGGGATGAAAATCCAGGTGATGCTCGGATGTTTCTGGTCAGTTGTCAGGGGGGTTCTTTCTTTAAACTGAATGTAGCTGGGTTAGAACTTATAACTTGTAACCCTTTACACTTACATCATAGCCATTTTTTTTCATTTAATTACACGTAAATCTCATATCTTCAGGCGATATCTTCATTTCGGTTATTTTGAAATCATGTAAATCTGCCGAAAATTGCATTCAGACGGGTGGAAACCTGAAAAAGATCCACAAACACGACCTGTTCATGGGAGAACAATGAGAAAACTATGAGTCAGAGAAAAACATTGTCTAGGTCATGGTTTTTCCGACTGTCCTCAAAGTTCCCACCATTTGTTCTATTTGTGTGTTTCTGTATTTTTTTATACAACATTTAAGTGGGAGACAAGGTAAGTGATGGTGGTTGTGATGGCTCCACGTCATGTTTTGGTGGTGGCCCTTTTGGCGGCGTACGAGAAAGTATGGAGAGCAGACGATTGCCAGCAGCAACAGGGGAAAGAGCGAAGGCGACACGAAGGCAACACCTGAAGATCTGACAGCTATGGAACGTGCAAATGACATAATGATGAAAAGGACCATCGTGGAGCTGGCGAAAATGTTTGTGCGACTGAGTCGACTGTGAACTGCGTCAACTATCATAAATCAGATATATAGATCCCATAACATAATTACAGTATTTTTTTTAATCATTGATCATTACCGACTATTTTAAATCAGTATTAGTCAAATGAGTAGTTGTTATGGACCATTATTGACCATTCTTTACAATGTGGGGCCCCCAAGATAGCTAAGTTGGTGAATAACTCCAATAACTATGGTTTATGGTACGCAAATAACTATAGTTTTCATGGGGTTTATCAACCAACTAACAACTGGGGGGCACCACATTGTATGGTTGTGTGTATATATATATATATATCATCTAGCTATGCTTATATAATCTTACATATGTAGTTTCTTATATCCAATCAATCCAATCATGAGATGTTATTAGTAACCATTACAAATCACTGTTCTTGGTTGAATTTTCACAGCCAATGGCACCTCTAAGGCAACGAGAGGTCGCGTCAGTGCCGCAGTACAATGACAACAGCAGCTCTGGTTATTTCTGGTGATCAAATCGCCATATCACCATGAAAATCACCATTGCATCCTATTGAATCACCATTAAATCACCATTAAATCCTATTCTGGTGATTATAAAATTGTGGCTTCATAAGATTTCATGGTGGTTTCATGGTGATCTAATGGCGATGTGGCGCAAAGAAAAATGGATGTGTCGGATGTGATTTGACCTGGGCAAAAAAACATACCATCAGAGTTGACCAAAATAACCGTGTGCTATCGAAAATCATCAGTTTTCATGGCAAAATCAACGAACTAAACCGGCATGTTCAATATTTTTCAATAGTTGGTGGTTCATCCCACTTAGTAAGTGTGTTATAACCCCAGTTATAACTGGATTAACCCTACTTATCCCATTTTTAACTGGGGTTATAACCCACTTACTAAGTGGGATGAGCCACCAAGTAGCTATCCAACCAATTACCAGAGGGTCATGGACAAAACAATCTTGGTTTCGTCTTCGAGGTACCTGATAGAGGCGCCCATGAAGTATCCATCTGAAACATGGCGCCCTGGGAGGTTTTGGGGGATCCTCAATTGTACAACCCAATACAAGGTGGTGCCCCCAAGATAGCTAAGTTGGTGAACATAACTCTAATAACTAGGACTTATGGTAGATATATCTATAGTTAATGGGATTATAAACCAACTTAGCTATCTTGGGGGGCACCACCTTGGAAGAAGTTGACGGCCGTGGGGGGAAAACGGTCTTTTTTATTTTCGTCAAACATCGGTTTCTGATGATTACGCGCCCTTTTTCACTGCATGTCTTCGGCCCTGAAATTACGATTTTTTGTTGGTACAACAAATCCAAGGTGGAGCCCATACGAACTTTCAAAAACAACAACAATTTCGCCAAGACACTGATCAAAGATGATCAAAACAAGAAACATGATGAAATTAAACCAGCACTGTTGATGGATTTAGCCCTCAAGTTCCCATCTTGAAATTCAATTGTTGTTGGTTCCTTGCTTAAACCATTTTTTGGTTTCAATGAACATGTTTATTGCTTTAAAATCACGTTTAGTGCAATATTACAAGTGGTGGCGAGTCTTTTTGAGGTTGTGCTCACTACTTGTAAGTTCGTTTAGTGTTTAACTAGAGCTATCTTATCATCATAAACCACAGTTGGCCTGATTTAGGCAATGTTCAACCAACTGAACCCCAGCTAAAATCACATTCAATCACCCTAAAACCACCCTAGCTTTGCTACAAAAATACCCGTTCCCTTCGCGAAAAACCCCACCGAGGTACGCCTGATGCCATACTCCACTTGGTGGACGAAGCAACAGCGGAGCCCTTGGTCTGCGAGCTGGAGACGATGACACTTCGACGTCGACGATGTGAGGGGAGAAAAAAAGGAAAAGTTCGATGGACTTTATGGTGAGCTCAAGGGATTTTATGGTGATTTCAAGAAAAAAGGAATGGTTCATCATGTCCATAGTGACAAAAATATTTTATGCTGATTTCATCCACTATTCATTTCAAGAAACATAGTGGACAATATATGATCACCATAATTTTTGCTGATTATGGTTTTGTCCACTATGCTGGTTGGTTGTATCCCTGATGATTCCTGTGTGTTGTACCTCAAGAATCCAATAATTAGAACATATTATAACCATTAAACTAGCAGGTTTGACCTTGCTGGTTAAACCATCCAAAATCACCATGTTTGCTCTTTAAATCCGATGAAATCACCATTTTTCATGGTGAAATACAATGAACCCCCGATGAACATCCGATGACATCCTTTTGAATCCCGATGAATCCCCATCTTTGGTTAGTGAAATCCCTTTAAATCCCAGTATTCACCAATAATGTTTTCTGGTAGATCTTTACCAACTATGTAGATCCTTTCTACCCCATCTTTGGATCCCAGTTAGTAGATCCTTTTGAATCCCATTGAATCCCATAGTTGGTGAAATCCCTTTGGTTATGTTTTCTGGTAGATCTTTACCAACTTTATTGGGGTCCAAAAGCATGGTATGAATCAACAACCACCATCCTTGGTGACGTGTTCTTTGAGGAAAGGTGTCCGGCGGAAGTACTACGACCGACTCCCGGGCCTCTTCCGAAACCACAGCGACAGCGCGGGCTACGATGTGGTGCCTGGGAGAGCCCACGAAGACACGATTTCATGGCGATTTCATGGTGATTGATCATGGCATATAAATGGGATATAAATGGCATATAAATTGCATGTAAATGGGATACTGGTTGGTGGTTTCAAACATGAATTTTATTTTCCATCATATATGGGGTGTCATCCTTCCCATTGACGAACTCCATCATTTTTCAAGATGGTGATTGCTTGCACCACCAACCAGAATAGGATATAAATTCTGGTAAACGTTCACAGTTTGCGACATAGAAAATGGCCCAGTCGAAATAGTTGATTTACCCATTGATAGCATGGTGATTTTCCATATATATATATATATATACACACTGGTTGGTGGTTTGGAACATTTGGATGATTTACCCAGTAATAAACCAACGTTCACATCACTGGGTGCACCGCCCGGTGCTGGCTGAATTTGACTGTTTGGAATCATCCCCTGGTTTTGTGGACCAGCTATTTTCAATGGATTGGTTTAAGGGAAAATTTAGTCCCAACAAAAATCGTCCAGAGTTTTTGTTGCACAAGGTCAGGTCCCTGTGCTTGTTGGTTTATAAACTGGGAAAACCCCATATTTACTGGGAAAATCTATGGTTTCCTGTAGATTTTCCCTTAAACCAATCCATTGATATTTTCAGGGTGAATTACCCGGCCTGGTTATGGCTGACATAGCCATGGTTTTTCGATGGCCCATAGAAATAGATGGTTTACCGAACTTTAAGATGGTGATTTTCCATGGCTATGTTAAATAACCTGGTGAATTATCATTATTTAGCCAGGCTTATGTGGACATATCATGTCACACCGTTGTATATCTACATAGCCATAGCTAGGTTATATAATAGATATGTCTGGAAATGTCTGTACTTAGATGGGGTTATAAACTATCTTCAAAAACTCAGATCATTTACAATGTGGGGCCCCCAAGATAGCTAAGTTGGTGAACATAACTCCAATAGCTATGGTTCATTGTACTTAGAACTATAGTTTTCATGGGGTTTATAAACCAACGTTCACATCACGTTTGGGGGCCCCACATTGTACCCATATTGTGATATTGAAGGACGGTGCATATACCTGCGGATTCGCATTGGGGGATGGATGATCACAAACCATATTACTATGTTTGACAATTGCACAATATATGGATATAACTATAAGGATGGTTTGTAGTTGATACAGGTGGATTTCTAATATTATATATATACCTGGTTGGTGGTTTCAAACATGTTTTATTTTCCATAATCTATGGGATGCCATCCTTCCCATTGACTTACTCCATCATTTTTCAAGATGGTGAAATTGCACCACCAACCAGATACAGATAAACACTTAGACGGGTTTATAAACGAACTTTTTACTTGTAGTTCAATAGAAAAACTTGGGCTTTAGCCGAAAATTGGAGGATTTTGGAGGGGTTATCCAACATGGGTCAAGGGTAGAAATGGGGAAGCGGAAGGGCCCCTGTATTTCTGTTTCTTGGCGTATAACCCTCTATATATATATAAATATTTAGACATACATACATACATACATATATATATATATACATTCATATATATATATACATATTAATATTTACATATACATATATAGGTTATATCCCCATAAAAAAACAAATAAAATTACAGCCCAATGATCCACAAGTCTCCACTCATCTTTTGACATTCCATAGCTTGCACTGCTCACTGCCCTCAGGTGCCCTATATCAATCAGTTCCAATCGCCCTACGACGCGGCGCAGTTTGAGGCCTATTTACGGCCCAAGTTGGCTGGGAACTACACGCGGCTCGGCAAAGAATAGCAGGTCTTAATGGGGAAAAAATATGTGGGAAACCAACCAATGTTATTGGATGTGTTATGTAATTTCATGGGATAATTACCCTGGTGGTTCGCCGGTTCGGAATTGCTAAGTTGGTTGAGAAGTAGGCTAACTGTTGTGTTTATAACGATGAAATAAATATAATCAGTGGGTTAGTAGACAAACTCGTAGCTAGGGGACACCACCAGGCAGGAGAAAACATGAGAAAACGACTGGTGGAGAGCAGGGGAGAATAGTAGGTGAGTTATTTTCGTTGGGGCAATTCTAATTGGAAAATGGAAGAATTAGATCGAATTAGCTGAAAAGTAAAAAGTGCGTATGCTTTGCAGGGCGCTTTTTTTGAGGTGTGAATCCACAAAGTTTGTGAAAGCCGTTGATTTTGCACCACCTCGTGGCGTATCATAGCTATTCCAAGGGGATTATGGGATTCTAGTTACTGGCTAAGGACTTGTAATGATAAGTAGCATCATCAAGATTGGGACCATCATAGTTACTTGTTCGGCAATGTTAATTATTGTAATTATATGTAATTATAGATATATATATATATATACAATGTGGGGCCCCCAAACGTTATAAGTTGGTTTATAAACCCTATTAACTATAGTAATTTGCGTACCGTAATCCATAGTTATTGGAGTTATGTTCGCCAACTTAGCTATCATAAACGGGGCCCCGCATTGTATATATATGTATATATATATATATCATGCACAAAATCGGGGTGAGATTTTTTGACCCCATTTCATAAGCGGTGACCGCAGGTTTTCATCGGGTTTCCCATCATGGATTCTGATCATCCCCAAGCCTGTTCGACCACCTAAGCCTGGAATCATGGTTTATAGTTTAGGGAAATCATCCCCTTTTCTGGCCGCAAGATTCAGGTGAGTGAAATACTCTAATTTACCCAGATATATCCATATTTTAACATAGCGAACTGGAACATCTATGATAAATGGAGGTTTATTTCGCTGGAAAAATTATCTAATTATTTCTATGGGCCATCTATACCATAGCTATGCTAAATAACCAGCCAAGTTATTGAACTTTAAATCCCCCACCAAATCAACCAACAGGGCTTTGGCAGCCACTGGTTCTGCGATGATTGGTGAAGCTGGAAACGAAGGGCTTTCTGACGGCGGGAGATGAAAAAATAATGTGGCTATTGAGATGGGCCATGGACTTAGTTAGCTGTTTATAAGTCATAAGTGACTTATAAACCATGATAACTATACTATAAGCCACTTATGAGGGTGTTCACCCAGTATCGAATCCAGAATGTTGCAACTCCTCACAAGATCTTTCAGCCACCGGCACAGCGGGTATGCCAAGGGCAAACTAGACCGGATGATCACGGAGAGGAGGATCGTTTTTACTATGCAACAGCCATGTGATTCCTATGCAGTTGCCTGAAATTTGTGGGAAATCGGGACTGTGTTGCAAGTCTCCTTGGGCTGGACTACGCGATTGCGACGTGGCTCAGCAGGCCCCATACAGTGGCTTCCCAAGCTCAAAACCAAACTTGAGAAGCAGGTATATGTGGTTATGAGTTGTGAGGGAGCTCTGAGCTGAGTTATGGGTATCATTGTCATAGTATCAATGGTATCCATATTCCCTGTTTTGCATGGCCAAGGAGCTACAGGTTGAGTATCCACATGATTTGCTGGAAAACCCCGGCTAAACATGGTTGATTGCCAGAGCGTAAGGAACATAATGTGCATAGCATGCGTGAGCGATAATTCAAGTCCGCCCAACAAAATTCTGCGAATCATCGGGATATATACTTGGATTTGCTGAAGATGATTTCTTATTTTCTCCATGGGAAATCCACTACTTGGGGAATCTATAGGGAATTTTTTTTATTTTTTTGGTGGTTCCTTAAGCCAAGCTATGTATATAATTATATTTCTGCATCTTTTTTTGTCGGAGCTGATTGAGAACCCATCCACACCACGCTCCGAAATGTAACCCTTTAAGCCAATGTGTGTGTGTGTGTGTAAGTTGCATATACCCATGTCTATGTGTACGATACTTACACATATATGAATGTATATGATATTATATATTATCATATCACTCATATATTACATGGCAAATCTTCATTATGATCTATATATTATTTCATCTAGTAGCAATACACATCTAGATGCAATTCAGTGATCAGCCCAATTCATTTGCATAGCAATACACATGAGCAAAAAGATGAAAATCCTGATTAAAACATCTATCTATATATTTTATGTATATATAATATGAATTATACATATTGTTATATTATATTTAGAATTATGATATATATATATGTATATATATAAATACTATGTTTTTTATATACATATATTAGTTATACATATATATATATAACTATATATAAGATTATGGTATCCAGATAAATCCCATCACAGCCCGCCAGGTTGAGTATCGAGGTCTTGGGTTCCTTCGTCCTCACCTGGGAAAAGGAGATCCTCCTGGCCGGGCGCTCACAAGGCGCGGTGCCCTCATCGAAGTGGTGGGATTTAGGCAACAAAAAATGGTGATTTAGTGGTGGTTTAATGGTGATTTAGTGGGGTTTAATGGGATTAAATGCTAGTTTCATAGGAATTTATACTGATGTCATGGAATTTAAAGGTGATTTCATAGGATTTGATGATGATTTCATGGGATTGTTTGAAGCCTATTCAAAAGGTGAATTGAATGGAAAATCGCCAGCACAGAAATGGTGGTTTCATGGAATTTAAGCAGCAAGAATAACGAATGAGTGGCTTTCAAATCATCCCATGTTCAGCCAGACCTTTTGTTGAGTAGGTTAGTGGCTGAGTGTTTTGTTCGCTTATGAAATTCACAACCAGTTGAAAAAATTGCGGAATAGTCATCGCTAGGTAGGATCTATGAAACAAAAGGTAGACGATTGCACTAGTAAGCCATATTTGTTCCATATCTTACCACTATAGTTGGTGAAGCCTACATATTTTGTTGTACCCAGGTAAGGTATCCATAATTAACCTGTTGTACTGTATATCACCAACAAATTTCCATCCCCCCAATGTCAAATACCCTTGACAACTTGATGGGCCCTTAAAATGAATATACAGGTTCAACAAAAGACCTGGCGGTCTGGGAAGCAGTCATTTTATGATTGCTAGATTTCATCAATATTTTCATCACATATTTTTTGTCGGTGAAATCCCATGAAATCCCCATCTGGTTGGTGGCTTGGAACATGAATTTTATTGCTCCATTCAGTTGGGAATAATCATCCCAACTGACTTTCATATTTTTCAGCCACCAACCAGCCATGTTATGTTTTTGCTCAAACATGTTGCCATCTGCCAGGCCTCTTCCCTGAACTCTTCAACACCTCCGAGCTGGAACTCAGCAACTTGGACCGGCATGGAGGGGCCCCCGTTTACGATAGCTAGGTTGGGGAACATAACTCCAATATCACTATGGCTTATAGGTGGTATATCTATACTTAATGGGCTTATAACCATGGTTTGTAACTTCAATTTCACAATGTTTTATGATACGCAAATATCTATAGTTAATAGGATTTAGAAACCAATTTATGACGTTTGGGGGCCCCACATTGTAGTTATCACCCAAGTTCATACGATTTTCCGTTATAATAAACCATCCAGCTATTGGGGTACCACCATTTTTTGGAACCCACCAAATAATGAGTTGCTTTGCTATGTAAATGATACCCGCCCAGTTTCACAGGCTGCACTCATTGTTTAAGTGGAAAAGCATCGTGGACATGAGGGATTTCTAGTGCCCAGTTGGACCAAAAAAAGAGGATATGTCGGTAAGTAAGCTCAAAAAATGGACAGAGAATCATTTAAGCAGCTGCAGATATGAATCATCATTTTTCATAGTGGATTTTGGTGGTTTTGCCACCCAATAATCTTAGGTATGTCCATTTTAATGTGGAACATGATACGTAATCTTACTGGTGCGTTTTACGTAGGGTTGCTGGATGGGTTGCTGGGGATTGCTGGGATCATTATTGGTAGTTAGCCAGTGGATCATTCACTCATTTCCTATAAATCAATCTTATCCATTATTGATAGTTATTGTGGATCATTCCCTCAATCGTATATAGATATTGATAATACTAATCATTTCTTGTGGAATCTAAGCACAAGTAAGTAATCCTCTAGAAATTCTGACATTTTTGGGGGTTCCATGGCTTCACATGGATCTCTTGGATCTCTTGGATCATTTTTGGGTCCCCAAAAATGCGCTTTCAAACGGACGGGTTCCATGCCTGAAAAACGGTTGAAACCTTCGCCTTGTGATTACCCTCTGGTAAACATACAGAAAACTATAGAAAATAACCATAAATAACCACTTCTAATAGGTAAATCAACTATATATTTCTATGGGTCATTTTCCATAGCTATGTTACAATGTTAAATTACCAGAGGGTATATCCACTTTGTTGCTTAGGTTATACACTTTGAAAAACACGACATGTCCTCATTTCTGGCTGGTCAAACCATGATTTCAAACTGGTAGTATAATGATGTTGACTCCATAATTCGTTGTTTCATCCAGCTAGTGATTTTGTTACATGGACAGGGGTTTATTTTTATGTGCCCTATTTTTTGTTATTTACAATTAAACGGACTAAAAGCTACAGGCCCCTTGGCCTAAACTTTTGGCTCATAGCCACATGGCACATGTAGTCAAATCCAGCCGGAACAACTTTGAATCCCCCATAACAAAGTCTGTCTAACTCATGTTATAGAAGTATATTAATCTGGGTAAATTATAACGACCTCACTGTTCTCCCTCACTGGAATTCTGGTTTTTATAGAGGAATCATCCCCAAATGGCCCAACAATTCAGGTTGGTGAATTATTATAATGTACCCAAATGTGTGAATTACTATAATTTACCCAGATATTATTATAATTTACCTAGAAGTATATTAAGAACTCATGTCTTAGTGAAAATCATGTTTCGAAAGCTCATCGAAACAGCTGCTTCAATCCTGACATTTGGATTTTGGGAGGTGATTTGGAAAAATGATGAAAATTTTTATAGCCACTTTTTGGGGATTTTGATGGTGATTTGGATTTCGTATCTGGGGTTACCCAAATTATATAGATGATCTGCTTGGTGGTTTCCATTCAGTTGGGAATGTCATCATCCCATCTGACGAACTCCATCATTTTTCAGAGGGGTAGGTATACCACTAACCAGTGATGATCGCAGTTATAAATGAACTCTGTGCCACTTAACCAGATATCTAGCCCTACTCAGACGTGGGCCTTCAAAAACTGAGGTAGCGATCAGTTCTACTTCTTCCATCTGGAGTATTGGGCGGATCCACTGCTGCCACCCGGCTGGTGAAACCACCGACGTGACCAACTTTCAGATTTTTTTCCGGTCGATTCCCAACTTGGGAGTGCAGTTTTTATTGATAAATGGGTGTATACATATATATATATGATATATGACTATACTGTATCTTGATTTTAAAGCCCAGTTATATACATATATATACATATTTTTTTTATATCCCTATATATACATACATATATATATATGTATATATATATATATGTTGTTTAATGGCGTATAAATAAACCACGGATCCGATTCCGATGCTTCTTCGATGCTTCTTCGATGGACCCCAAGGCCCGAACGCACGGATCAAGAGATGATCACCTTCCCCAGGAGGAGATGGGGGTCCAAACCTTGGGACCAATGGACCAACTTTAAGTCATGGCAAAATCATTGGAATGGTAAAATCCTTAGGAATGGTTAGTGATTGTTAATCATGGTGATTTAATGGTTAATTAATGATGGTTAATAATGATTGATAGTGGAGACATATGGTGTAAATCATACCCAGATAATTCATTTTAGAGACCTCAAGTATGGTTTTAGACGATTCAAGTATGGTTAAATGGTTAATGGTTAATGATGGTTAATAACCGATAATGATGGTTATTGTGAATCCCCATTAATGATTGATACTGCTAAATCAATTTTCTTGTTGGTTTATGTCTACATTCTCAATCATTATTAAGCATCATTAACCATTAAATCACCATTATAAACCATCATTAACCATCATTAACCATTCCTAGCCATGTTGTGAACACCACTTGTACTTGGTGGTTCAACTCACTAAGTAGGTTCGATCCCTGGAGTCCATGCTACATATGTTTTCGAGTTTTTTTGTAGTGGTTAATAGTGGTTAATAGTGGTTAATGTTACTATATACACATATAAAAAATTATATATATATATCTCTCTCTCTCTCATCTGGTTGGTGGTTTGGAACATGTTTTCCATATATCGGGAAGAACTGTAATCCCAACTGACGAACTCATATTTTTCAGAGGGGTAGGGCGAAAAACCACCAGCCAGCTAAGGATTCATCAATCGTCATGATTACCCTCTGGTAAACTAACAGTTTGCTAATGAAAATGGCCATTTATAGTTGATTTACCCATTGAAAATGGAGATTGTCCATAGTTTTTTGTATGTTTACCAGAGGGTAAATACTTTGAAAATATGTCGATTAAATGGAAGTTGCTTGGGATTCATGTCATTCCATGATTTTTATTCCAATTGATAACCCTATATTTTTGGGAAACCCCATGGAGAAACGATAGAAATGATAGGGGATTTTTGGGGGATGGTCCTCAAATAACTTGGGGTGATGGGAGTGACCCGTGAAAAAAAGGGAGCAAACGAAGAAAACCAAGCATTTAAGGGTGATATACTGAGGATATTTAGAAACGGGTTTATACAATGCTAGTTAGACATAGCCCAAAAAAACAAAATCGGATACGCAGCCTTTTTTAAAGTTTGCTATTAGACCAGGTGGTCTCGCTAAGTTGCTTCAAAAACATCAAGGATCATCGCATCAAGTCTTTGAACCTCATGGAATCATTAAGTAGAAAAGACCATTCTAGATGGATTATAAATGGTAAGTACAAGTGGATTATACTAACGCTAGCGTTAAGTCGTATCAGCTTGTAAAAGTCGTATCGGGAGGCCGTGCGCCTGGAAAAAGTTCAAGTTTGGCATCACCACAACTTTTAGTAATGAACAATTTCATTGTTTTGGGGCCGTGCGCCTGGAAAAAGTTCATTTTATTGCGTGATTTTTAAAAAATATATTTGATCATTCTTTCAAGGGGGCACTGCTTGCCTGCTGCTTGCCTGCTGCTTCCCTGCTGCTTGCCTGCTACTTGCTGCTGCTTGCTGCTGCTCACCTGCTGCTCAGCTGCTGCTGCTTGCCTGCTACCTGTGCTGCTGCTCACCTGCTGCTCACCTGCTGCTCAGCTGCTGCTCACCTGCTGCTTGCCTGCTGCTTGCTGCTCCATGCTGCTGCTTGCTGCTGCTGCTTGCTGCTGCTGCTGCTGCTCCCTGCTGCTGCTCCCTGCTGCTCACCTGCTGCCTGTGCTGCTCCTTGCTGCTCCTTGCTGCTCCTTGCTGCTCCTTGCTGCTCCTTGCTGCTCCTTGCTGCTCCTTGCTGCTCCTTGCCGCTCCTTGCTGCTCCTTGCTGCTCCTTGCATTCCTTGCTGCTGCTTGCTGCTGCTTGCTTTGCTGCTGCTGCTGCTCGCTGCTGCTGCTGCTGCTGCTGCTTGCTGCTGCTTGCTGCTGCTTGCTGCTGCTTGCTGCTGCTTGCTGCTGCTTGCTGCTGCTTGCTGCTGCTTGCTGCTGCTTGCTGCTGCTTGCTGCTGCTTGCTGCTGCTTGCTGCTGCTTGCTGCTGCTTGCTGCTGCTTCCTGCTGCTTGCTGCTGCTTGCTGCTGCTTGCTTCTTGCTGCTTGCTTCTTGCTGCTGCTTGCTGCTGCTTGCTGCTGCTTGCTGCTGCTTGCTGCTGCTTGCTGCTTGCTGCTGCTTGCTGCTGCTTGCTGCTGCTTGCTGCTGCTTGCTGCTGCTTGCTGCTGCTTGCTGCTGCTTGCTTGCTGCTGCTTGCTGCTGCTTGCTTGCTGCTGCTTGCTGCTGCTTGCTTGCTGCTGCTTGCTGCTGCTTGCTTGCTGCTGCTTGCTGCTGCTGCTGCTGCTGCTTGCTGCTTGCTGCTGCTGCTGCTGCTGCTGCTGCTGCCGCCGCCGCTGCTGCTGCTGCTGCCGCTTTGCTTGCTGCCGCCTGCTGCTGCCGCCTGCTGCCGCCTGCTGCTGCCGCCTGCTGCTGCCTGCTGCTGCCGCCTGCTGCCGCCGCCTGCTGCCGCCTGCTGCCGCCTGCTGCTGCTGCCTGCTGCTGCCTGCTGCTGCCTGCTGCTGCCTGCTGGCTGCCGCTGCCTGCTGGCTGCCTGCTGGCTGCCTGCTGCTGCCTGCTGCTGCTGGCTGCCTGCTGCCGGCTGCTGCTGCCTGCTGCTGCTGCCTGCTGCTGCTGGCGGCTGCTGCTGGCTGCTGCTGCCTGCTGCTGCTGGCTGCTGCCGCCTGCTGCTGGCTGCTGCTGCC